CTTTTGGATTCAGGGAGATGTGGTATCAGTTCTCCCAACTTCGAATAGTTATCGAAGTCATGATTCGCTAAGAGGGCAGAATAATTTGATATTCTTAGTTGTACTGTAGAAGAGGAGTATATCTTCTTGCCGAAGAAGTCTAGCTTTTATTGTCCTTGTCCATATTGCCAGTTTTGTAGTGCGGCAACTTCGCTCTTTGCTGTGCTGATTCAACAACTAAGGAGTTGGCTTATGGATGTGTAAACAGGAAATCAGTGTCTTTTGGTGGAACGAAGTATTTTCTGTCAATCTTTTTATTAGTCGGCTGGATGGATGCGGGTGTCTTCCACAGATCCTCAGATGTTTCCATGATTGCCTCGTCAATTGGTAGGGTAATCTTACTGTGCAATGTAGGATGCAGGTTCTTTAACAAGTGATGTTGTTTCTTTTGCACTTCTTGGAGGGAGACATGCTGACTTGTTGCTACTCGCTTGAATAGTTCTTGAAACTGTTTGAGGTCGTCGATCGCTACTGTATCTGATGGTATAACTGCCTCATCCTCTTGGGCACTGAGGTCGTCAGGGTGTGTGATGTTTATTTATTGAATATCGGATTCACTGTCTGAAATTCGTTCCTCCTCCTCTGTGTGTGTTGCCGGAGGTAGGGGCTGTAGATGAGGCAGGCTCCTTCGAGATGATGTGGAGTGGGCTGAGGACCAGCGCCTGAATGGGTCCCAATGATCACAGGGCCTCCATTGGGGTGGATAGGGTGGGGGTGGGTAAGACCAATAAGGGTGCCATGGGCTTTGTTGTGGTCCAGCCCTATGATAGTATGAGCAAGACCCCCTTAGCGACTTGTGTCGTGAAGAATATGTCGTATATCCGAGGGGAAATGCCTTGCCAAGGAGCTCCCAGGTGAGCAGTCAGTGGGAGGCAGGCATGAATGCTGCTGCCTGCTGTGAGTGTCAGACGCTGTGTTAAGAGTGGTCTGTAGCAGACTCATGAGGGTGCCTCTCGCTGTCTGCTGCCGGCACCGGTGTTGAGATCTGGATTACAGTTGCAGCCGATGCCGGCTGTGTATGAGGTTTCTTTTGGTGCGGTGCCGAGGGTTTGAGCAGCACCATCCCTTTAAGATGCGCTGGGGCTTGCAGCGGCGCCAGCTTTTCTTTCTGCCCCAGGTGGTTAGCGCGTTCCCGGGACGGCTCAGAGGCAGCGCGCACCGGTCCTGGTGCCGAACGGGAGGATCTTCCCTCTGCTTTGTTAGCAGGGGTCCTCGGACTTCCTTGCCCCTCTCCCTGGGTCTTTGGGGAGGAAGAAGGTGGGAGAGAGCGTGATGGTAAGGATCTCTGCCTTGCAGTTTTTGGTGGCGGGGGGTTTTCATGCTGCAGTTCCCCCTGCTCTGTAGGCTGCAGAGCCTTTTCAAACAAAATCATCCTTCTTGCAAGGACACTGGAGACATAGATCTGGGAGGGGAATGACTCGCCAAGGATCTCCCAGGTGAACAGTCAGTGGGAGGCAGGCATGAATGCTGCTGCCTGCTGTGAGTGTCAGACGCTGTGTTAAGAGTGGTCTGTAGCAGACTCATGAGGGTGCCTCTCGCTGTCTGCTGCCGGCACCGGTGTTGAGATCTGGATTACAGTTGCAGCCGATGCCGGCTGTGTATGAGGTTTCTTTTGGTGCGGTGCCGAGGGTTTGAGCAGCACCATCCCTTTAAGATGCGCTGGGGCTTGCAGCGGCGCCAGCTTTTCTTTCTGCCCCAGGTGGTTAGCGCGTTCCCGGGACGGCTCAGAGGCAGCGCACACCGGTCCTGGTGCCGAACGGGAGGATCTTCCCTCTGCTTTGTTAGCAGGGGTCCTCGGACTTCCTTGCCCTTTTCCCCGTGTCTTTGGGGAGGAAGAAGGTGGGAGATAGCGCGACGGTGAGGCTCTCTGCCTTGCAGTTTTGGTGGCGGGGGGGTTTCATGCTGCGGTTCCCCCTGCTCTGTAGGCTGCAGAGCCTTTTCAAACAGAATCATCCTCAGGCAGAGCTCTCTATCCTTTCTAGCTCTCGCCGTGAGGGAAGCACAATGTGTGCAGCTGTGGGGTGAGTGAGTTTCCCCCAAGCATCGAATACATTTTGTGTGGCCGTCAGAAGCCAGCATAGGCTCGAGGCACTGCTCACATTTTTTAAAGCCTGAGGAGGCAGACATAGTTCGGGAGATTCTTATTTCCTTCCACTGTTGATGTTTTCAGAGTTTTATTTATTTGTGACTGTTGTTGTAGTCCCTTCTTTTCTTTTTATGTGGTTTATTTGTTGTTGTTTTTTCTTTTTCAGCTGAGAAGCCGAGAGAGAGGGAGAGAGCCCCGGTTCACCGGGGCTCTGGTCTGAAGCGAGTTTCAGTCCTCGAAGGGAGATAGTCAGTTTTGTTCTTTTTATAAAAGAAAAAAATTGTTGTTGTTGTTATTTTAAAGAGAAAACAAGGGGAAAGAAAAACTAATTTGGGATATAATAGGGGGAAAACTGTGGTAAGCTAACTAATAGAAATGCAGTCGCTCCGTCCGCTGACGAGGGCGGTTGAAAAGGAACTGAAAGGGAGGGGGTTGAGCCACGCGCTGCAAAGGGCGGGAAGGGCTCGAGACGCCTTCTGAGCATGTGCGGCTCAACAGGGGGGAAACTGCTTTGTAAAGCTCCGATCTGCGGCTCAGGGCGACCCTTCACCTAGAGTGGAGCACCCACGGGGACACTACTCGAAGAAGAACTTATTGGATTTCTAATTCTGAATTCCTCGATGCATTTCTAGACAAAAATGTTTTTCACTTTTGAATGTTCAAGAGATTAACGTATGTCCTTTTCTTTACAAAGATAACCTCTGCAATGTTTTCTATGTATGTGTCAGGTCCAGGCTACTTTACAGCAATGTGCTCTCAACTTTGGATTACCTTAAATACCAGCTGCAAAATGTGCAGAATATGGCAACATTATAAGTAAGAGCAGACTTTCAAGAGTACATCACACCAATGTTCTAAACTGGTTACACTTCAAGTTTTTTTAAGTTGTTACAGGTCTATGACCCAGTTACCTCAGAACCCTTTCTGTGGCCACTAAAACAACTGCCAATAACAAAGTTACTGTTGACCTCTGCCTCCAGAACTGAATTCTTAATTCATACTGTGGTTGGGTATCCTCACAAGTAGGCTCAGTTCTAGAATTCACTGAACTGATCTGTCAGAATCCAAGGCTTGGCATTTTTAGGACACAACACAGGACAGCTCTGCTTACACTCTCCAAAACATGTGTTTAGCATCCACAGACCAGCAGTTACTAACTGCTGGTCTTCAGCCCCGTCAGACCACGGCAGCTCTGGGGTGCACCGCTTCCACCATGGCTGTTGGGAGAGGTGTGTCCTGCCCTGGCTCTCAGCCAACCTGCGCTGGGCAGGGTCTCTTCCCATACACAAGAGTCACATGGCAGCCTTAGAACAGCTGTGACCCAGGCAGCAGTGCGCACCTGGGAGGCAGCACAAGGCTAGATGAGATGCGTAGGCAGGACTAGTGTTGGGAGGCTCTGGGGCTCGCATTGGGGAGCTTTGGGGATGAAGCTAATACTGGGGAGCTATGGGGAGTGAGACTGGACACTGGGTGTCTGGGGTGGTGAGCTGGTACTGGAAGTGGAGCTAATATTGGGGACTGTGGGGTAGCACTTGGGAGGTCTCTGGGGAGGGATGGGTGCAGTGGTGCTTTAGAAATAGGAGGCTGGCACTGAGGGGGTCTGGTGGTGGTGGTGTCTAAGGGGCAGGGGGCTGGCACTGGGGTCTTGGGTGCAGGGGACTCTTGGGTCAGTGGCTGGCACTAGGAGTAGTGGAGGGGTGGGGGGCTCTAGGGGTTAGGACTGGCACTGGAGGGAGTTTTTGGCAGACCGGTAACATTTTATTTGTACATTTACATATGAATTATCTGCACAATGAATATGCAAATAAAATTATACCCATCCACCAAAGTTTGTGAATGGGTTTGCCCATCTCCGGTATAAAAAAAGATTGAGAAGTACTGCCACAGACAGTGGCAAGTTCATTTACTGCAAAAGATCCCATGGGAAGTTTTGCCTTATCTTGTCAAACACCATTTTCTCCACCAGCTGAGCAAGAGTTAATGCAGAAATTTTGCAAGCAGTTCTTGCAAAATCTACATAGTGAATAGGCAATAACAGGAAAATGCTCTCCCTCCGTAATAACATCTTCAAATTCTTCTAGAGTTGGGCAATTATAATTTTCTAAGATTAGTAGTAAAAGGGTAGAGAAAGGCTCCCATTCTGGTCCAATATAAATATTTCCCTGTACAAGGTATTCCCTTTTATTAACTAACTCAACTGTTCTTACTTGTTGACATCCCTGGCTGTGCCTGTCCCATATTGGGCCCTTGATTCATGGGAGTTGGAGGCATGCCTGGTGCATTTGGTATCATGTTCTGCTTTTGCAGTCTGGTCCTTCGCTTTTCCTCCAATTCCTTTTGGATCTTGTATATCTTCTCAGCTAGCAGGTGGTAGTACTCTGCCTGTTAGGGTAGCAAGGGACAAGAAAATAGAGGAGATATAATAATTAAACATTACACATTAAAAACTGATGACTAAGTTTAGAGCTGGAAAAAACATTTCCTTCTCTGCTCTGCATATCAGAATATTGAGAAGTGACTCTCCCATAGGAATGGGTAAGCATATTCCACAGTATTTCCTGCAACTGCAGAATGACTACAGTGGAGATTTATTTTACCTATATTGTGCATTTGACACATACCACAGTAAAGGATAAGCCCTGGTTTTATATTGTATTTGAGAGAAAATTGGAAACCTCAAACATGGCACATTAGGATAAAAAGCTTTCAGACTATAAACATGTGTCACAAGCAAAAAGGTAAAGACTTGAAACTAGGAAGAGATTGGAACTTGCTGTTGCCCTTCCACATACCAGCATCACCTTTAACAAACATATCTGTGCTTTTATTTTTTGGTACCCAACTTGTCACAGTTAGGCCTCCATTCCCACTCACAAACATCTATTCATGGCACATTGAGACAGTATCTCAACACCAATGCTGCGAGTACCTGAAGCTGCCTAGTCTGTATATTAGTTGAGAGTTCTGTCCCCTATACTGACAGAATGCATGCAGGCATAGGGTGCTGACCTCCCCTCCAGCCAGGGTGTGCTTGAACTCCACTCTACCTCTTCCCCAACTCTTGCCAGCCCATTTCCATCCTTGCTCTCAAGCTCCGATCCCTACCCCACCTCTTCCCTTGAGCACATCCTGTCCCTGCTCCTTCCCAGAAATTCCTGAAACCACAAATCGCTATTAGCAGAAATCGCGATGGTCTGGGAGAAAAGGGAAGGGTTTGGTCAGCAAAGCTGCTGGCGTGCGAGAGACATTGAAGTGGGAGCTTGGGAACTATGGATGCTCTGCACCCACTAAATTTTCTTCATGGGTGCTCTGGACACAGGCTCCCATGCAGGCTCTCTGCAGCTCTGGAGGGAAAGAATATGGCAACTCACCCTGCTATTTGCAGATTCATACATGTCACCTTCTACCTTCCGAGCATATGCCACTAGGTTCTCCATGCGCCTGTCTTTTAATGCTGCAGGATCAGGGGTAGGAAATATGGCTTGAACACTGAAGTGGGAAAAAACATGAAACATTAAAAATATGTATCTTTTGAATTAAAATAGATGGCTGCAAAATGAAGTTCAAAACAAAGGCTTTTAGTCTATATTTCAAATATCTATGATACACGGCAGTTTTAGGGGGTCTCTAACCCCATTGATTTCCTGATCTCTCCCCTAATACTGCTATTTTGGAGCACAGAATTGCATATTTGATACAATAACAGTTTTAAGAAAGAAAGCAAATCCAATATTTTTGCCAGTATTTCTTCTGATCATTACCCAATCCAAAATCCACATACATGCCCTATATTGCTCAAAGCAACAAGCTTCCTCAACTCTAAAGCCTAAGGTGCTCACTAGTACCTGCGTGTCTACTTTTTGGCTGGGACAGAGTAGGGTGCAACTATAAAGCATTTTTAAAAGTTTGTGCACTTACACTTATTTAAATTCAACCAATTCCTTAATCTCTTTATAGAAAATATACACTCGGCTCAACCTTCCTTGGCAGAGGGAGACCTTGTTTTGATACTAGATACCTACAGTTTATGAACAAGATGATTTCGGAGGTCCTGAGTAATATCTTCATGCCACTGTTTTCTAATTCCAGTGTTGGATGGTTGTGCTGCAGTTGGCATAGCTCCCAAACTGGTAACACTGGTGCTTTCACTCATCATGGGACTTCAAAATAGAATAATATGTTAGAGAAGAAAAAATGCTAAACTTACAATCTTACACTGATAGACTATTTTATACTAAGAATGACAAATCACTATTTACTATTTGATTTACACACTACAGTATATAGGAATTGTTTAACTGATCAAGTACACCCACTTCTTGAGTGAACAAGTTGCATGTTCTTTTAACCATACCAAAAACACCTTCAAGTCCAAACATACTCCTTTTTTTCCAGTCACAATCACAATGATTAGAGGATTGCTCCCCCCTCAGATTTTTCTGAGATGAAGCTTGTTCAGTATCTTCAAACTATTTTTAATCCATGTGAGATGTTCAACTTACTTTTGGGAATTCATTGCTGAATGCAACATTGAGTCAGACAGCAGATTAGGGGCTTGAACCCCCATACCTCCATTCACTCCCATAGGATTAGCATCTAGAAAGCAAAAAGAAAAATATATTAAAGTAAACAGCTCACCACCACACAAACGCTGTACTCAACCCTCCTACCTCGAGAGCATTGCTTAAAAAGACATACATATGGATAATTCTGCAGAGTTATGAAATATTCACTGGAGGCTTTCAAGCCATCTTCCCCTATTTAACACTCATTTTTCACTAAGCATATACTGATTCCTTTGCCATAAGTGCATATTGCACACTTGCATATTTCTAGGTCATAGGTCAAGGTTTGTATCAATTCTGAATTTCCTGGATCAGCTGTTATAACCTCCTCCTCTTTCCCCCACCAACAATGCCACCAAGACCAGAGAAGCAGGAGAGAAGTTACTTACTTTTTACAGTAACAATAGTTGAGATATGTCCTTATGGGTGTTCCATTTTAAGTGTATCTGATCCCCATATACCTTTGTTGGAGATTTTCTGTAACAGTGCATGTAAGGTGAACGCATGTACTCTATACATCCCCCTGCTCTGTACCAAGGATATATGGGCTCGCATGGGCAAACCACACTCAGTTCCTTCTCCACTCCAAAGCCCTAAAGACATGAGATGCTGAAGTAGGAAGGAAGAAGGCAGAGTAGTGGAGCACTCATAGGGACACATCTGAAAGAACTCCAGTTACTGCTCAAGGTAAGTAACCTCCTCTTCTTTGAGCAGTGTTTCTGTGGGTATTCTAAAACCAGAATTCTAAGCAGTACCCTCTTAAAGATAGGGGCTTCAGAACTCAGTGTCAGGCTAAGTCAGTATTCTGTACAGGAACGATCAATGAAAGCATAGTATAGGGGTGGGGACCTCAGGCCTGGAAGTCAGATATGTCCCTTGGCTTGCCTAAAACTGGCCCCAAAGGCTCAGGGTCTCCCACAACATTTTGGAGCCTGTGCTGGCGCTCCAATCTCCCTGCTTCCCCACCATGCGTCTAGAGCACACCAAATCTACAAGCCTGGGCTGTTTTAGGCTCTGATGGGCAAAGGCAATGTGGGGAGTGTCTTTTTCCTTCTCGGTCAGGGGCCATGTCAGTGAAGTGTGTTTTTCTTTTTTGCTTCTCTTGTGTGCGGGCCCCCAATTGTTTTTTCTGTAGGTCAGAAGTCCCCAACCCAAAAAAGGTTCCCCACCCCGGCACAGTGTCTAGGAAAAGCATGAACTGAAGCTCATGTACCATGGTACTAAATATAGTACCATGGTCCCAGCTCCAGTCCCAGCACACGGGCAGACACCTGCTGCGTGGCACAGCCCCTAGGAGCAGCTGGGGCCAGGGCTATGTGGCAGTTACTGGAGCTGGGATCGCAGTACTAAAAATAGCACTGCGGCCCTGGCTCCAGCCCCGGTACACAGGGCAGCCTCCCACCACGCTGCCCCACCCTAGCAGGTGCAGGTGTCAGGATGGCAGAAGGGAAGGGGTAGGGGAAGAACTAAAGGGAAGGTGGGGGTGATGAGAGGAAGGGACTTGTGCTGAGGGGGAGGTAGGGCAAGAGACGAAATGGGAAGGCACCAAGGGGCAGGATGGAGGAGAGACAAATGCAAGTGGGAGAAGAGGAGAATGAGGGGAAAGGGCAGGAGAAGCGAGGGGAGGATCAGCTACTAAAGCTCACAGTTCTCTACCACTTTAGGCACAGAACAGTCACTATGAATGCTGCATTTAAGGAGAGGTTCAGAAGCAAGCAGGTCACTAACAGTACAAAAGGAGGTTTCATCAAGCACTGAAAACTAAATTTAAGCCCCAGGAGAAAGCAGAATCTAACATTAAAGAAGATAATTGACAGATCCTGTATAAATCCTTACACTCCAAGACAACCAAGGGGAGGGGAGGGGAGGGGAGGGACAAGCACCAAAGGGCAGAGGAGAGTAGCAGGGCAGATGCGTAGAGGGAGGTGTTAGGAGAAGGGATGGGGAGGGGAGCTAGAGGAGAGGTGGGCACAGGGGGGAAGGGAAGAGCAGGAGCAGGACAGAGGATGGGAAGGACGGGCAAATGCAGGAGGGCCGAGGGGAGTGAGATGGGCAGAGGGGAGGGGAGGGGAGGGACAAGCACCAAAGGGCAGAGGAGAGTAGCAGGGCAGATGCGTAGAGGGAGGTGTTAGGAGAAGGGATGGGGAGGGGAGCTAGAGGAGAGGTGGGCACAGGGGGGAAGGGAAGAGCAGGAGCAGGACAGAGGATGGGAAGGACGGGCAAATGCAGGAGGGCCGAGGGGAGTGAGATGGGCAGGAACGAGAAGGGCAGGAGCTAGGTACAGCAACAGGCATCAGGGGAGCAGATGGGACAAGAGGAGGATGAGAGCCATGGAATCAGAGGGGAAAAGGGAGAGGTTTATAAACTTGGTTATAAACCCAAACAAAATTCACTCCACTCACGGATGGAAAATCTTACAGGGAACACTGAGGCAGACTGCTGAGACTGGAATATTGTGATGCACCACTTCTATAATTTCATGGCTTCCAATGATATATACTGGCTCTGCTTTTTGTCACTATGCGGACTGATTTATTCTTCAATCATGAGTAGGAAGTGCAGACCAGCACAGAGTTCCAGAACACTGATGTAGACACTTGAACAGACCCTCTCTCTTGAACAGATGTTTTCCATTCAAGGAAGGATGTGGTAAGCTATTACACAAGAAAATGGCTGAACAGGACCTCCAGAACAAACTTTTTTTGGATTCTTCCACCACTTAGGAGAAGCTAGAAAATGATGGGGGTTAAAGAACAGTTTTATCTCTGGGGCATCTAAACAGACCTGAAGCAGGTTTGGAAGCAATGTAGGTGCCATTGAGCATGAAGTGTGACGAAGTAAATGTTGTAGGCATGATCTGGCAGTGACTTGAAGACAGATTTGGACTCTCAATAAGATGTGACAGTACAAGGACCCTAGCTGATAAGCTCTGATTACATTAGCATTTCAAGTAACTTTATTCTATGTACAGCTGGAGGAAAGACTTCCTGAAGTTGAACTGAAGACCTATACTGCTGCAGAGTCAAAGCCAAGAATGCTGCCAATCTGTGTAGGTCTCTCTTATGGGAAGCCAGTTGCCAAGCTAGGGATAGATAACAGTGAATGCTGGAAAAAATGAGGTACGTTCAAAAGTTAAAACAGGAAAAGAACAAGTTAGATGCCTTCAAGTCAACAGGCCTGTTGAAATGCCTTTTCTATGATGCAAGGAGCTCTTTGAGGAGGTGTCTGGGCCATTAGCTATCATCTTTGAAAAGTCATGGAAGATGGAAGAGATTCCAAAAGACTGGAAAGACCTTAATATAATGCTCATCTATAAGAAGGACAACCCAGGAAACTACAGACCAGTCAGCTTCATTTCTGCGCCAGGGAAGATAATGGATCAAATAATTAAGGAATCCATTTGCAAAAATCTGGAAGATAAGGTGATAAGTAACATTCAGTATGGATTTGTAAAGAACAAATTATGTCAAACCAAGCTGATAGTTTCCTTTGATAGGCTAACAAGCCTTGTGAATAAAGGGGAAGCGGGGTATACCTAGATTTTAGTACAGCATTTGATACAAACTCACAGGACCTTCTCATTAAAACTAGGGAAACACAACCTAGATGGGGCTACTATAAGGTGGGTGCATAACTGGTTGGATAACCATTCCCAGAAAGTACTTATCAATGTTTCACAATCATGCTGGAAGGGCATATGAAAGTGTCCTTTTGCAGGGCCGCAGACAAGGAGTATGTTCTTAATTGACAATTACCTTAGAAGAGGCGGGAATATTAGCAGTCAAGCAACAGGTGAGTACGCAACCAGAAATCCATTGGGCTTTCAATTATCTCTATCCACAACAGAAAAACCACCTCAGGAAGGACCAAAAAAGTCTAAATCTGCCCAGATAAGCCAACACTCTTCTGATACTTCATATGAAGGACACCTTCCGTTCTGACTGATGATTGATGTAGAATATTGATCGATTAAATGATTGATTTGACATGAAAATCTCAACTGTTGGTTAAGCATCATGGCTATGGTAAAAAAACCCTCTTAGAAAACAGTGGAATATGGAGGATCAGCTACTAAAGCTCACAGTTCTCTACCACTTTAGGCACAGAACAGTCACTATGAATGCTGCATTTAAGGAGAGGTTCAGAAGCAAGCAGGTCACTAACAGTACAAAAGGAGGTTTCATCAAGCACTGAAAACTAAATTTAAGCCCCAGGAGAAAGCAGAATCTAACATTAAAGAAGATAATTGACAGATCCTGTATAAATCCTTACACTCCAAGACAACCAAATACCTAAAAGCCATGTACTGGAGAACAGAATGCTGTGATGGTAGCCAGGTGAACTGCAATAGACCAGAACTTGAAGCAAGTCCTACTTTTTTCAAAAGTAAGTAAGTATTCTAATACCTCAGTGGTAGGAGAATCAATGAGACAATTTGTGGTGAACATATCAATAAGAAAACCTTTCCCATGAGAAGCCTTTGCTAGAACCTTTCCTGCTCTTAAGCAGACTCTCCTGAAACCTTGTGGCAGTGAGATAGTACTAGCTCCAAGAACCATGTGGCTATCAGGCCTTGAGCCACAGCATGTTCAGGTAGGTTTGAAGGACATTCCCTGAGTCCTGAGAGAGAAGACCAGGCACCAGCAAAAGACTGACGATTGATCAGAAAAAGAGGGAAAGATTAAAGAGAAAACAAATCTATCAGCCAAGGAGATGCAAAAACACAATAACTGTGGCTTTGACCTGCTTGATTTTGTTTAAGACACTGAGGGTCAGCAGCATTGGCGAAAATACATATAGGAGATTCTTTACTCAAGAGAGGAGAAAGGCAGTGCCCACAGAAGAGTGACCCAATCCTCCCCTTGAACAGAACTGCACAAATTTATCAATCAAGTGCAAGGGCAAAAATCTGCTTTTGGAAATCCCAACGCAAAAAGTATCAGAGTCCAGATCTGTCTAGTTCCCATTAAAGTGAAGCGCTTATTGAGACCATCACTTTTAGTGTTTCAGAAACTAGGCAGGCAGACCAGG